CCCCACACTAGCCACTGGGAAGAAAGTTAACTCCATTTCAGTCCAAACCAGCACCCCGGCTCAGGTATAGATTTATTCATCTGCAGAAGTTTTCCTGTGTCCAGGCAGTGTTTCTGAATTGATATGGAACAGACTATTCCTTTGTAGGTGGAAGCAATCAGTTGGAGTGGGGGCTGCCCTTGGGGCTAATGCCCTTTACTTTTACGTGAGCAAACAACAATTTAGCAACCTGAACTGTGGACAGAGGGTCCCAAATCTGGCTCTATGAATTGAGGTTGCATTTTTCTACAGCTTAAATACAGATGAATTGTGCGTAAGTTAATCACAACTGCATTTCCTTCACTCTTAGTATTATTAAAAGTTTTAAGTGAGTGGTGGTTAAATTATTTTTAACTTGTGGAGGACACACTCTCTAAGAATTATCTGAATAGCTCTTGCCCAGTTCAAAGTTGGGAATGTTTCAGCCATGTAAGTTGGGAAATTAATGCAGTGTGTACAGTGAGTCATAGAATCATAGAGTCAACCAGGTTGGAAGAGACCTCAAAGATCATTGAGTCCAACCCTACTGTCATTACTAGACCATGGCACTAAGTGCCACATCCAGTCTCATCTTGAAACCCTCCAGGGATGGTGAATCCACCACCTCCCTGGGCAGCACATTCCAATGCCTGATCACTCTCTCTGTAAAAAATCTCTTCCTAATCTCCAACCTAACCCTCCCCTGGCAGAGCTTGAGTCTGTGCCCTCTTGTCCTGCTGCTGGTTGCCTGGGAGAAGAGACCAACCCCCACCTGACTCCAACCTCCTGTCAGGGAGTTGCAGAGGGTGCTAAGGTCTCCCCTGAGCCTCCTCTTCTCCAGGCTAAACCCCCCCAGCTCCCTCAGCCTCTCCTCATGGCACTTGTGCTCCAATCCCTTCACCAGCCTCGTTGCTCTTCTCTGGACCTGCTCCAGCACCTCAATGTCCTTCCTGAACTGAGCAGCTCAGAAAAATCTTATTCTCTGACATTATTACTTAGTTTTTATGTATGTAACTCAACACACTATATGAAAATTAATTCATAATTTCAAAGCTAAGAGCTATCCTGCATTTCTGTACCAAGATCATTCTTGCATTGAAAATTAATTCATAATTTCAAAGCTATGAGCTGTCCTGCATTTCTGCACCAAGATCATTCTTGCATAAAAAAAAATATTCTTAACTACTTACCAGTACTGATAAGGCACATTCAATTTAAACTGAGATAAGAGATGGAGAAATACGGGTAGTGTTGGATCAAAAAAAATAAAAGGAAAAACAAAGCAGGATTAGTTGAGAAAAAAGAATAAAATTTCCCTAAGTACCTGTTGCACATTTTAGTAATGTCAAACAAGAATACCTTAATGAAAATTTACAGTATTAGCAATAGGAAGAGGAAAAAATAATTGGAAAATATGATAACAGTAACAAAAAGATAAAGCAACAGAAGTAAATTCCTACTTTTCAGAAAACTCTCAAAAATTAAGTGCAAGATCTGCAGGAGAAATTGACCTGCTCCTATGGCCAGTAACACCTGAGGAAGTGCAGAAGGCAGGCAGGAAGGACAGACTCACACTGCGTAGTGTGCTGACAAACTCTTGCAAACACAGCATTTAAAAAAGAACAGCCACTAAGAACAGAGTTTTATTTTGACACACCAAGACTTAGGCTGCTTCAAAAATGAAACTAAAGGAGTGCTTCCATAATTAATAGCTTCATCAGGTTGATCATTTCTTTTTGTTTCCAGAAAGGACTAGGAGCATTTTTCCTTTACTTTGGAAAAATGCTGGAGAGGGAGGTGTTTCCTTCCATTTTTTGTAGGTCGTGAAATTTTGTGGTTTGTAATAGTGTATTCCAGAACCATCCTGTTCTCATAGCCTTGTACAGATATTTTTGCCTCTCCAGAAGCATTCCATTACCTATGGCATAGTCAGTCTTTAACTCATCCACCAGCTAAGGCAGGTATTTGCCTTTAATGAGGCATTTAAAAGTATAGTGGTAGTTTAAAAGTATAGTGGCAGCAACTATCATTGCTGCATTTGTAGCTCCCCCTGCTGCTAACAGAGGATATGTTGTGACAGTATGTTTCAGTCACAATGAAGATATGACTGTTTTTGAGAAACCCACAGAGTTTATTTATTTTCAATATCTCTGAACATCTTCTAATATTTGGCTACCCTTATGGTGATTTTTTTTTTCATGTCTGATTAGAATTTCCCTTGTTGCAACTTGTGTCTCTGCGTCTTGTGCTGTTACTGTGCTTCTCTGAAAAGAGCCTGACTGCCTGCTCTCCCCATAAATAGTAACAATCTAAGATCCTTCAGTCCCCTTTTCCTCAGCCTACTCTTTACTAGACTGAATAAACTTTAAGCTTCTCATGGTACAGCATGTGCTTTAGCCCCTTAGTCACCTGTGTGGTCCTCTACCAGATTCCTTTGATGTGGCAGTTTAATTGTTGCTAGGTTTTGGACTTCCCACTACACAGTGCTCTGGATACTCATAAGCTACGAAGAGAGGGGAGGAATTGCTTTCTTGAGCAACACTCTTGCTAATACAATCCAGCATGTGCTAGGTCTGCTTTGCCACAGAGGTACACTTGCTTAGTTGCATTTCGCTTGTCAACCAGGATCCTCAGGTCCTTTTCTGCAGAGCTACCTCCTACCCACCCAGCCTGTACTGTTCCATGGGTTGTTCCACTATTGTTGCCTGGGTTTATTTCACCCCAGGTGCAGGACTTTGAATTTGCCTTTTTTGAACTTCTTTCCTGTCTGCCCTTTCAGGTACAACAATCTAAATAACCACCTACCCTCCAGCAAATTGACTGCCCCTCCACCACCAAGGGAACATCACCTGCAAACTCACTGAAGGTGCATGGTGTGCCACCCTCTAGAGGTTTAACAAAAATGTTGAACACTGTTGCCCCTGGCATGCATCAGTCACTGTCTTTGATTGACTGGTCTTCACGCTGCTGACTGCAGCCTTTATGCCCAGCAGTTCATTCAGATTTCCACCCACCATACACATGAAACATGGACTGGATAAGCAACTTGGCTAGAAGAATGTTATAGGAGGTGTTGGCACAGGCCTTGCAGAAGTCAAGGCAGACAACATCACTACGTTGCCCTTATCCTCTGAGCCAGTAATCTTTTCATAGGGGACAGTTAGGTTGGTGAGGCATAGCATCCCCTTGGTAGCTATGCCCCTTTGGGGTATTTTTTAAGCCTTTTAGTGTTTCATATAGCTGGAACCCCTTCCTGGAAGACTTGTTCCATAACTTTCCCAGAGACTAAGGTCAGCTAGGCTGTAGTTCCCCACATTGTCATCCTTCTGCTCTTTGAAGATGGCTTTAACATTTGCTTTTTTCCCCCCCCAGCATCAGAAGCTTTGCTTGCTCACCATGCTGCTTCATGATGCAGCATCTGAGTTATACTGTCCAGGTCATGATTGCTCTTGGGTGCACAACAACTGCTTGCATGGACATATGTCCTTTTGGCTTAACTGCACCTTGACTTCTTCCTCTGATGTAGGTAATACTTTGCTCTCACTGACTGCTGATGTGCTTGAGCATGTGGGAGGCCTGAGGGCAGATCATACCCACAAAAACCCAGCCAAAAATTGTTGGACTATCCTGACCTTTTTCATGTACTTCACCTCTAGGTCCCCTTGCCTTGTTCTTAACATTTCATTTGCCCCTGATACACAGTCCTTGTTGCCCTTCATATTCTTGGCTGCTTTCAACTCCAGCTTCAAAATCTAAATGCCATTTTTTCCTAATTAACTGAATATTTCTGCAGTTAAGTGTTTGCACTTTAAGTGGCTTTGAAAGAAGTTGAGCCCATTACTGAAGAGAACACAGAACACAAATGCCAAAGAGTACCTTTTTCCCCCCCCCACTTACATCATGAGGATGTAACTTTTTCAACTTCTGCTGCCTAAAATCAAGGGAAATTTAACAATATGGCTGCCAAATTTTTTCTGCATGGACTTTATTTTAATATATTCTTAGTTTTTAGACAAGTTTGAGGGTACTGAATGAGGTTTAATGATGCTGCAGACCAGTGTGCTGTACCTAATTTCATAGAATAGTTTGGGTTAGAAGGGACCTTAAAGACTGTCTAGTTCCACTACCCCTGCCATGGGGAGAGACATATTCCACTAGACTAGATTGCTCAGAGCCCCATCAAGTGAGGCCTTGAACACTTCCAGGGATGGGGCATCCACAGCTTGTCTGGGCAATGTGTTCCAGTGCCACCCTCACAGTGTAGAACTTCTTGTTAATATCTAAACCTGCCCTCCTTCGGCTTAAGGCCATTCCCCCTTGTCCTATCTCTACATGCCCTTGTTCAAAGTCCCTCTCCAGCTTTCTTGCAGGCCTCCTTTAGGTACTAGAACTTGCTGTAAGGTCTCCCTAGAGGCTTCTCTTCTCTGGGCTGAACAGCCCAAACTCTCTTGTCCTATCTTGACAGGACAGGTGCTCCAGCCCTGTGATCACCTTTGAGGCTCTTCTCTGGACTTGCTCCAACAGGCCCACATCAAACAGCCAATTTGTTGTCTGTTTGTAATTCTTAATGCTGTAATTCTTTGCAGGTATGAGTTGATTAGGATAAGTGCCTGGACATTGGACTGCAAAGATATTTGCATTTTGGTAGGCTGTTTTCAGTCCATAAGGGGGTAGGTTAGGTGATGAATTAAGATTCCTTTAAAAATTCGTTTTCCTTCATAGTACTTTGTTGCTTCTTGCCTGCAAGTGATAAAAAGTTTTAAGAAACAGTCCGAAATTATGGCCTGTGTTGGAAAGCTGCTGCCAGTGGGAGAGTGATTGTAAAGACAGTGTTAGGAGTAATGGCTGAGTACTTAGAGGTAGTGCTTCTACTTCTCAGTACATGTAGTGCCAAAGAACATCATAACTGTGAGGTACCATCACTGTTACAATGAGTATATTCCAGTAAAGCAGACGAGTTGGTGAGTACAGACATACTACTCCTGTGATACTACTTTTCTCCTGAGTGCTTTAAGTGAGAATGTACAGTGTCACAAAACCACCTAGGTGTTTGTGTTTTGGCATTAGTAGTGAATGGTTGTACTCCTCAAGCCACACATGGCTGTATTTTTGGATCAGGTCATCAGGTGTTTGTGATGATTTTTGTGACTCTTGCCACTACTCTGTTGAATAGACATGTTTGACTCCCATTTCATACATCATAACAGAAAATACTAGGTTTGCAGCTATTTGAAGGAAGAACATACATGTATATATTCTCTATCCAACACTGAAATGTAGGCTCAGCTTACATCTCTCAAACAGCTATCAAAGTCAAAAAACCCAACCAAACAGAAAAAACCCTTTTAGATTGTGGCACTCAAACAGTTCCCATATAAGTAGGAGGTTTGTGGAAAAGTCACACAGGTTTGGTCTACCAGTAGTATTTACTTGTGGTTTAAATACTTCATGTATTTTTGTGCCTGGAAGCAATGAATTTTCAGTGTTTATTTCTCTGTAGGTTCACATGTGTTTTTAAATGCTGACTTTTTTTTTTTTTTTTATTCTTCTAGTAGTCAAAGAAGCCCATCACCAGGTCCAAATCATACCTCTAGCAGTAGTGCATCCAACTCCACACCTGCACCACAGAACACATCTGTACGACCCACCTGTTCATTAACACCCACGCTAGCAGCACACTTCAATGAAAACCTTATAAAGCATGTTCAAGGCTGGCCTGCAGACCATGCAGAAAAGCAGGTGAGTACACTTGGGCTTTGTTCCGTGAGAGTGCAAAATGTGTAGCTTAAAACTTGCTTTCCTTACTCAGGTTGTTTTTCTAAGAGTTAAAAGTATTTAAAAAACAGCCCTGATGCTTATCCTTAGCCAGAAAAGAGGAGAGGGAAGAGAGATTAGGCCAGACCTGCAGGTTTTGCATGTGATTGCCTTTTGGCTGTTGAGTATTTTCAGTCTCACTTAAAGTCCCAGTGCTTTTGAAATTCTCTCAAGATGAATAGCTGTCCTTATAACTATTTTCTTACTGCCACAATGCTGTTGAAATTTACAAAGAACATAAATTTCAACCAGTTTTTTTAATAATGATATTTTTGTTCTGCAGAAGATGTTATGAGTGGCAGAGTTAAACTATTTGAGACTGCTCCACAGTTTGAGTTACTGACTTGCTAGCTCTACACAGTGCAAAAGGAACTCTGCCTTACCCAGTTTTTAAGATGGTGATGAGGACTCATGACTGAATTTGGGCTGTTTTTACATAGTGGGGAATCCAGTAGAGTTGACATCCATATTCTATAGCTAACTGCATGAAATTAGCCTGTTGTGGTAATATAGGGAAACTGGATGCATGTCAGTTGCTTGGAATCTATTACTCAAAGGAACCATACTGGTTATTGAATTTAGTTCAGGTCCTTTCCCATGCAGCCCTGTCTGACACAGTCAGGTTGGGATATTAATCTTACTTAGCCAGTTTACTTTGGTCTTTTGAAGAATGGTTGCATGCTGACAGAAGCCTGCACTGGAGACTTTTGAGTAGTAACTTGTAAGAAGGCTCTTAGAAGCACAGTCTAGGCTGGTAGGGATTCTTGATTCTTTTCATTAATTTTTTTTGGTTCAATTTTAAGACATTAGCAGCCTGTACTGAGTCAAACCACTGAGCCATTGCTGTGGAGTATGTTTAAGGAAGCAGTGTGGAACAGGCTTTTCTCTCTGTGGCATTGGCCCATAGTTTCAAAAGTGTTATTTTCACTGTGTACTGAGTTCACATGTATCTTAATGCGGAAAATACATGTATATAGTGCATAGACGTTTTGGGGTTATGACAGAAGCATAGAATTTTATGGGTTGGAATGGACCTTATAGATCATCTAGTCCCGGCCTGCCCTGCCATGGATAGGGACACCTCCCCCTAGACCAGGTTGCTCAAGGCCTCATCCAACCTGGCTTTGAACACATTTTTTTCCCCATATTGGTAATAAAGAGATGAAAAACCTCAGTTAATGCTAGGCAGTCATGTACTCAGCTGGGTACTTTTACCTTTGTGCCAAGAGTAAGATGCTTTATTGTCCTGTCTGCTGCTTCAGATGATTTCATGTGACAGTGTTGTTTATAGTCTAGTTTTGAATAGTAACTTAAGTGAGATATATCTAATATAAAAGAAAAAGTGAATGAGAGTGTAGGTGCAGTAGATAGTGAAAATAAGCTAAATAAAGTGGAGAGAGTAAAATATGCAGTGCCTTGGTTTCTTCGGATAGCTACCAGATGCATAGAGTAAATTGGAATTAGGGCATAAGAGCACATGCTGGAGTAAACTGAAAAATAAAGAAGTAGATGAATTGGGTGAGCCAGGACAGGTGTGTGCTGAAGCAGTCAGGCTTGAAATGTGCTGTGCGGTAAGTAGCAGCTAAATCAATTCTTGAACGAAGCAGTCAGGCTTGAAATGTGCTGTGCAGTAAGTAGCAGCTAAATCAGTTCTTGAACCACTGGCAGTTATCTTGCAGAAGTCATAAAAAGCAGTTAGTATGGAAAACTGGAAAACAATCCAGTGCCTGGAGTTGTGCAGGGAAGAATGTGAAATGATATCCTACATAAGACCAGGGTACTCTTGGATATTAACACACTCTGGAAAACTTTTAATGTAGAACACAAAGTGCTGGTTCGAACTGGAGAAATGCCGGAAGTTGATCTGTGCTAAATAACATTATTTTTGGGAAGGGAAAATTAAGTGTACAAGTACTTACACAGATGTTGTGGATGAATTCCAGTAGGCAGCTAAGCACCACACAGCCTTTTACTTACTTTCCCCCAGTAGGAGAGGGGAGACAATTGGAAAGGCCAAAGTGAGCAAACTCTTAAGTCTGTTGAGGTAAAGGCAGCTTAATGAATAAAAGAGGATGCAAAAGCAGTTGCTTACCACCAGCCCAGCCATTCCCTGAGCCCAGGCAACCCTTGGCAAGCTGCCCCCCAGTTTCACTGCTGAGCTTGACATTGTGTGGTATGGAGTATCCCTGTGATCAGTTTGAGTCTGCTGTCCCACTTTTGTACCTTCCCTGCCTTCTGTTATCCACAACTTAGTTGCTGTGTAGACAGGGGGTCAGAGAGAAGAAGGGGGAAACTCTTGATGCTGTGTAGACTCTGCTCATAAATAGCTAAAACATGGGTGTGTTATCAATTCTGGTTTAGTCACAAATCCTAAACACAGCACCATATGGACTGTGGTGAAGAAAATTAACTCCCCTCCAGCCAGGCCCAGTAGAGAGGAGAGTAACACTCCTAAACAGCAATGCTGCAGGGAAGGTTGTATTTGAAACTTTTTTCATTTTTGCCATGTGCCACTTGCAAGAAGCCTCTTTCTTATTGCAGTGTAATAGACAGGGCCTCAGACTAATTATCCTAGTCTCATTGGAGCTGTTGAGGAGTTCCCTGGAGTCACATGTCCAGTTCAGTAACAAGACTTAGAGAAATGCTCAAATTGGGAATTTACACTTCTGTTGTCTCCAGCTGTCTAAGTGGGGATATTAAAATCATGGGGTTTGTCTGGAAGAGAACACTGAAGAGGGTTGCAAAGGTGGCTTCTTTCTAATTTGCAAGGTAGCTGGACAGAAGATGGCATTCAGTTACTTTTGTCACTAAGGCTTAATTTAGAGGAGAAATTTAAGTCTGCCGTTGAAATAATGGATGGAGAGTCTGAACTACTTATGCAGATTACTTTGGAAACTCAGAGTGTTGTCATGGACTCTTTCAAAGATGGTTGGATCAAGCATTTGTTAGGATCAAGAAAATCTAAACTATCTCTGCCTTAGCATGGGCCTGGGTTAGACAATTTCTTGGCTGCTAGTGGTGTTGATTTCTGATTCTAAACAGGCTTTTATAGAGAATTTAATGTACTTCTGATTTAATACTCCCTTTTGAAGCTAGAGTGCTTTGCTGTTTCAAGACACACTCACCCAGCAATCCTCTGGCTACAGCTGTTTCCAGTGCATGATTCAAAATCCTAACCTTCATGTGTAACCATTGCAGGCATCAAGATTACGTGAGGAAGCCCATAACATGGGAAGTGTCCATATGTCAGAAGTTTGTACTGAATTAAAGAATTTAAGGTCTTTAGTTCGAGTATGTGAAATTCAAGCAACTTTGCGTGAGCAAAGGTAAGTGTGTGCATTGTGTCTATGTTCAGTTTTCAAGGTGGTGTTAGAACTCCCATTCTGGCATTGTTTTGCACGAGGGCCATTTCCTGATGATGGCTTTGTAAGTGCACTAGGACTTGCCACATTTGCAGGTGGCTTCCCATACAGACACCTCTTAGCCTTCAGTGAATAGAACCAGATGTGCAACTTGTGTATTTTCACTTGGATAGAAATATCTTTGTAGGTACCTTAGTGCTTTACAAAAACCTGGTTAACCCACATTATTTGAGCTTGCTTCTAGAATAGCTGCCCATACATCATGCATAGATTACACAGGTACACATCTGCACAGTTCACACTGGTCTGAAACACTACAGTTGACATTAGACTGGTTAGGTCTAAAGCTGGAGCAAGTTTGAACAGTTGTAGTTTATCTAACAAGCTAAGGGGAAATTAATCTTTGCTTATAGCAAAGATAGTTGTTGCTTATAGCAAAGTAGACTTTGCTTCTTAAGTCAGTAATAGTTGGTTGTTCTGTGTCTCACTGAAGCACTCCAGTGTTGAAGACTGTCATGTACATGATTGTAAACTTTAGTGTTGCAGGACGTGCTCAAACTTTTTACCAGTAGTTGTGATCCAGAATCTACTTTCATATTCAATTTCCTTTTTGAATGATGGTATCCTGACTATTAAGTCACACTACAGTTTGAATGCAGTGATTCTGATCTACTGTTTGAAGCTGCCTTAACAGCATTGCATGCTGTTTAAATAGCTGCCTTTATCTGGAAGCTCTTGCATTTTGGCAGTTAGTAAAACAATTCTTTAGTCAGAAGTAGGCTATAATATATTTATAAGTCTTTCCTGATAAAGAATTAAAAATACCCATTCTTTCTGGAGTTTTATTTCATAACTTCACTGCATAAATTGTGATTTCCATAGTATATTTAATGAACTGCTTGGTTTCTTACAGGTTTCATTTCCTAATGTGTCATTTCTGTCACTGAGTGCACTTTGGATCTGAAATAACATGTCAGATGCCATTGTTCAGCTCACTAAATAGTGCCTTGTTTCTTGTACACTGTGTGTCCTTAAGCTGTCAATGGATAATGATTATTATGGCTTTGAATCTATGGTAACATACATCTTTTATTTTTGCTGCAATCCAAAAAATGTGGACTACATGGCAGAAGTAACAAGTTGATGGGGAGAGGCTTTCACAAAGGATGGGATTATCAAAGCAAACACACTTGAATGATGAGTTATTTCTGTACTTTTGCACACAAGAACTATTTGAATTGCTTCTAAGAAGGAACTTGATCTCTAGGCGAAGCAAATACATTGTTTTAGCCATAACTGACAGCATGTGAGAAAGTGCTTTGCATTGACTGATATCTTTTATATGCCCATGCCTTTAAGTTAATTGGATTTTTTTCAGTGTGTCTCTCTTAATAGTTTTGCACCTACTTTTCAGTAGAAAATGAATTTTTACTGAACTGAGCACATACTTGAAAAGTGTTGTACAAACATCTTCCGAACTGGATGTTTTCTCTGCATTGATTAAAGTTGCTTTGGACTTTATAGAATATTTATGTGAAACTTGAACTCTCCCTGACTATTTCCTTAATTCATTCACATGTTGTGTTACACTTCAGCACCATGAAAAGTGGTTTCCAAATATTTATTAAAAGTTCTGGGAAACAGTTCTGTAAGCCACATGTTCGTTAGTTGCAATAATTGTTTATGTCAGTTCAATAGAAGAAGAAAAAATGTATAAAAGACTTGCTAGCAATATAATTTATTTCTAAGCGAGGTGCAATTACAACTTTTTTTCCTTAGAAGCTTTTTAATGATGGCTCAAATATTTTTGAGATCAGAGCTTAGCATAACAAGAGACTAACACTAGCCACAGAGCCAAACACTAAAAAAAGAAGTGTTACATCTAGAAGAAAACTTGCTTGTTTAAAACAATTTATGAGCACTTTAGGTTGTTTTACAGTCTGAGAAATTGCGTGACACAGGCATAACACCATTCTCCAGAATATTGTTACTCAGTGTACTCTTCCAGTGTCCTGCTTTTTCTGGGAGCTAAGTTCAAGTTTAAGAACAGGCTTAAACATAGCTGTGTGTCAGTCATAATCAAATACAGCAACTTAATTTTTTGAGCTGCAAACACACCAGGTCTCTGTGCTTCTACACACAGTGTTTGTAGGTTATTGAACAGACTGGGAATTAGCTTAAAAATACTTGGATTTTATTAATAGAGCTAAGGAACTTGGTATCCTTCATTAAAACTGTAAAAGTACTTGTGTAGATGCTTATTATCTGTGTACTGGAAATGTTTATACTGATTTATTTCTTTTTCTCTTGCAGGATACTATTTTTGAGGCAACAAATTAAAGAACTTGAAAAGCTAAAGAATCAGAATTCCTTCATGGTGTGAAAAGTTGTAAACAATTGCACATGGTTTTGAGTACAGGAACTATTAAACTGATGCCCAGTCTTAACACTTTTGAGCTGCATTTGAGTAGACTTTGGACCGTTGAGCTGGGCAGAAAAAAAAGTTGACATGGGGAAGGGGACAGGAGGGAGTCAAATTCAGGGGAAAGATACAAGAATGATTTGTAAAACCCTTGAAATGTAGATTTCTTGTAGATGTATTCTTCACGTTGTAAATATGTTTTGTAGAGTGAAGCCATGGGAAGCCATGTGTATCAGAGCTTAGACATCCAAAACTAATCAATGCTGAGGTGGCTAAATACCTAGCCTTTTACATGTAAACCTGTCTGCAAAATTAGCTTTCTTTTTTTTTTTCTTTTTTTTCCCTTTTTTTTTTTAAATTAGTTAATTTATCATTCAGAAATCTTTCATTTCCTAAAATCCAATGCGAGCGCCAGGCGAGCTGTGTCTAAGGCTGCAACAATTTGGGTAATGTACAAAACCACCACGAAACAACTGTTTCCACACTTGCACCGAGTCGAGAGCAGTGCTTCTCCATTTCTGTTTTACAGAGAAATGTTTTTCATCTTCTGTGTTCCATTTCCCCGTGAAATCCTGAATCTGATTTTATCAGTTTTTTAATGCTTCTAATTTTCTCTTTTTCTTAAGGCACTGTTGCTATGGCACTTTTTCTATAATCTTTTCATTCCTGTGTACAGTAGCTTAAAATTGCAGTGATTGAGCATAACCCACTTGTTTGTATAAATTATTGAAACGTATTTCCATTTGCACCCTGTAAGAATGGACTTATAGTACTGCTGGGCATGTGTGCTGAAAGTACATTACTTGCTCAAATATAAGGAAATAGCCCAATGAACATGTTAACATGGTTGTGGGAGGGGAAAGAGGAAAAAAAAAAGCTAGTCAGATGTGAATTGTATCTGTTGTAATAAACATGTTAAAACAAAGAAACACTGGTTTTCATTTCCTTTGGTCAACACATTAAAATTTGGTCTGTTTGGGGATTCTTTTTATTAGAACTGTTCTTGTTGAACATTTTTGTACTTAAATAATTCCTCAAGGGAGGTTTTGTTTAAAACTTGTAAACAGGAAAATGTGTATAAAATATTTAATTGAAATATAAAATTCAACAAGAATGATTTGACACCTCCCCAACAGTTGTCATATGTTAACTCCTGGTTTACCTGTCTTGATATTATGACATTTCATTTCGAAGGATGTTTGTGTTGTAGCTAACTGTTTAAGTCTGGTGCTGACTGCTGTTCTTAACCATCACAAAACGCTGAATTTGTGTAATTGGAGCAACCCACCGTTTGAAAATGGTGGCAAAGCTCAGCTTTGTATATTGTTTCCTAAAGTATATTAAAAATAAAAAAGAAACTATTGCTACTACAAAATAAACGTGACTTTTTCTTTGCTTAAAACAACAGAAATAGTGATGGCAGTGCTGGTTTAATATTTGCAGAGGTGTCTGTGTCACAGCAGTCTGTTCAATGAGAAAGATTGTAGGGGATGCATTGAAACAAAAGAACTTCATGATAACAGTGTTGACATGCCATGCTTACATGTCTTGTGCCTGCAAAATACTTTCAGCACCAGAAATGTTACTTGTTATTTTGTGTTGAGTGAGCTTGGACTGATTTTTAAAATCAGGTTTTCAGCAGTGGGAGCTGAATGCTCTGACCTAACACAGCATTGGAAATGGAGCAAGTTGAAATGCTGAACTAACAACAAGGATGAACTTGTAACTCTTCTTCACATTTTAACCCAGTGTGTGCTGTTCTGTTTCATGTCGTGCAAGTGTTTGATTATTTTTTTCTCAGAAAATGGGAGTAATTTGGAATGAATTAATTCGAGCATACATTGTTTCTACATTTTGAGAGACCCAAGGCTGTGTGACAGAAAGCTTCCTGAGACCCTTGTATTTGCCTCATATCCTGTGTCATGTGAAGCTCACTATCTGGAGGTTGCTGAGTATAGGGAAATAGTGTGTGCAATGCTGGATGGACACAGGATTTCTCACCAGTGGTTGTCCTTAGTGCAGACATTTCACTAGTAGTTACATCTTACAGATGTGCTGGGTCTATTTTCCACAAGCTCATTTTGTTTCCTTTTGATTCTTACATTGCCCTGTATAACATCCTGTATTAATGAGCTTCACAAGTTAATTTTATTTGTAGAAAATTACCTTGGGTTGTTCGGGGGGTTTTTTTAAATCTCTGATTTGAATTTATTTTCTTATGCTTAACTACTGCCTGTTGATTTCATTGTTTTATAGAAGAGTCTTCCTTCCAGCCTGAAGAGTGCTAGTCTGTTTATCACATCAGAACTTCCATAAATACGAACGGTCGCAGATAACTTGGGAGTAACAAGGATTAATGTGCCACTCTAACCTGTTAAAAACACAGTGACACATACACAGCACCAAGACACACTCTTCAGGTGGTGCCTTCCCTACCTACTGTGATAAAGACACCTACTTTGTCACCATCTGATGGCACACTGATACCTTGTTGGGTATCATCCATCAGCTTTCCTCCTCCACACCCTTCCAAAGCCTGGAGCTGTTGTTGGCTGACAGGGACAGCTTGCCAAACTTTCACTAGCATCAGACAGTAGGGTTGGACTTGATTTTGTGACATCTTTTCCAGCCCAGTTGATTCTGTGATTCTATGATAAGAGGATTGCAGACACTAACCGAATGGCAGGGTCTGGGTTAATGCCCTTCAAAATGGCTTCACTAACATGCAGACACAATTCCAGCCTTACTGTGTGGGCTGGGGACTCTCCTCAGTTTCTGTACTGATGTGCAGAAGTTGGCACTCTCTATTGCTTGATGGGGGGGAAACCCAACAATTTTTCTCCTTCCTATCAAATCTTGTATCTGAAGCAACACAGGAATGGGCTGGTACACAGAGACCTGTTCCTGGATTGCCAGCTTGGCATTAGTTATTGATCCTGACATTGCTCCTATCCTTGATGTTGTTTAATGGAGGGAGCTTTATTGAATTGCTCTACACCTGTAAGTCAAACCAAGTGAATTTCCCCTGGGACAAATCCTGTGTTCTTCCTAGGCAGGTGTTCAGAAGGTGTTTATAGGAGCCATGGGATGTGTTTTCTGCATTAATTCCTTGCTATAGGTGGTCAAGAAAAAGTGATGAGAAACTGATGAAAGAACTGTTGGTGTGTATATTGTTCTTGGTTTTCCTGTTGTGCATTTGCTAAATAACTCTTTTCTATAGATGAACAGTCTGCTGAAAAGGTTGTCTGAGCATGTACAATCATACTGCAAGCAATGCCATTGGGGTAGTATTTTATCACACGGGGTGATGCCATTGGGGTAGTATTTTATCACACATTTTAGCACAGAAGGACTACAGCAGAAGAAAGAATTAAAAGCATTTCTGTTTTAAACAGCAGCCTCATTGCAGGACTGTCCCCAAAGATATGGGAGAAAATACTGGATAGTTGTTCAGGTCTTCTAAGTCTGTAGGTCAGAGACCACCATGTCTTAGTGTCACATTGCCTATGATGACAACCTGAGGACTTACCAAAGCAGAGTCCTTTGTTGCTGTGAGTTTGGCTGCAGTGGCCAATACTGTATATTGTGGTGCAAGGAGGGACTGGTGTGCCCTGAGCATCACTGTCACAGTGCCTCAGGGTGCTTATGACTGCTGTGCCTAAGGGACAGTCGCTTACTCCGGCTCTAAATTAACATAAGACTTCTATGTATGTAATTAAACATCAAGTCCATTCTTGGAATTAGCTGGATGTTTCTGTGACTTCGTCATCCTTACTGCTGTTCCTGGAATAAAATTCTGTCCTCACCAAAGCAGTCTCATTTACAGAGGTAAGATGATAAGAAGGCAATTCTGGATGTTGTAAAAATAATGCCTCAACTTCTGAAAGTTTCCTGCAGAGAAATGTTCTGAGCTCAAGTGCCATCTCATTGTGCTGCTGTTCTGCCCATAACTGCTGATATGTGGAGGTTTCTTTTGTGTTTTGATTTGGTTTTCTTAACTTGTTTTATGTTATTTCTTAAGAGTTTTTGATATAGGAAGAATTTATTTCTTTGCCAAGTCTAACTTTCTCTTTGGCAGTTGTTTGTCTGCAGTCTGTCAAGCAAAAACTTTCATTTGCAACTGGGATGTATGTATATGTTGACTTCTTCTGCAGGTAAGATTGGTTTCAGCTGTTGATAAAGTTTTGGATTCTGGTTACACATCACTCTTTATAGGTATCTGTTAAGTTCCTCTATCTCTTTGGTCTACAACAGGTGTTTGAAAAAATTCAGTCTTTCATAGCTGTAGGCATCAGCTCTATTCTTCTAAGCTTCCTGGATGCCTGTGCTGCTGCTGCTGTACTAATTCATCAGGAATTGTTCCTAGATGTTCCTTGATTCAGATTTCTGTGTTTCCCAACCATGGCTTTTTGTTTGGAGAGCTTATCTGAGGGAAACAACTGATGTAGACTCTCTACCACTTAGGGTTCCAGCTAGCTGTGAATCTGGAAGTCACAAAGCACTTTTCTTCCTGACACTAACCCATCTGATGTGGGACTTTCTAGAGAATGAACTGTCAGGTTTTTGTCTCCAGTGGGAACTAGGAACATTCTAGCCAGTCTTGTTGCACCCTGGGCAAGTCCTACCTGAAGCTGCTGGGTCGTATGCAGCTGTACAGCCTGGCTCCATGTATCAGGCTTTGCACAGCAGGTTTGCAAAAACAGCTTGAACAGCCTCATCATTCCAGCAGTTACTGAGTATGTGTGACAGTATTTTGTCACTTTCTGTCAGTTACACATGCCAGAGAGTGAAGAGTATCGCCCTAACCCTAACCCTAACGGTCTCCGTCAAGAGAGCATTTGCAAAGGGATGCCATATACTCCTGCACACAGTGCCAAGCTCAAAAATCAGTTGCTGTGCTCCAGTTTGAAATCTAGAATTTAGGCTGAGTAAAAAGTGTGTTGTTATAGCGAAGCTCAGAACGATTGGTTAGGCTCATCTTCCCGTTCATGCTTTGTTAGAAGAAAATTAATCTTGGGTAATACTGTTAGTTGTCTGCACTAGCAGCTAGAATGGTGCAAGTAACTTCAGTTGTTTCCCTCTCTCACAAATTTCTGAAGTTGGCACATGGAGGCTGGTTAGCATGGTTGTCTCGAGTTCTAAACAGTTACCTTCTCCTGCCTGGCCTGGCAGATTTGCTGACAAGCTCTTATATGCTTCTCTGGGCAAAAAATCTGAGATTGGATCTTTTTTCAGAGTAAGTAGGATGCTGTCAGAGTTAGACTGGGCTTCCTGTTCTTCTCCTGGATGCATCCTCATTAGCAGCAGAAAGCTTGTAGTGGGAAGAGTTACTTGGTAAAGTGACCAAAGCCTTAATGGCAGATGGTGCTACAGAAGGTCAATGTGTTACCAGCAAATCTGGACTATGTGATAGTGCCAAGGGACTCTGATGTCCATCAGCTCCATCCAGGTTCCTTTAGCTGCTGCTCTGCATCCTCAGAGTAAAGGCTTTTTTTTTTGCTTTCTTCCATACTTTGTAAGCTTTAATTGAATTTTTTCTTCTTCTTGAGAATTCAATTTCACAGTAAGTCAACTATCTATTTTTTTTACATGGGAAAGCCATTAAACCATTGACAGCATGTCCCTGTCTTCACTTGCTAAATAAATTGCCTTTCTGCTTGCAATAACATTGCCAGGAGAAGCAGGAATAACTGAACCTCTTCACACTGTTCTGGTTTTGGGATAAAAATTCTGAGTTCACTTTGACCTAGGGTGGTATCTGAGTTTGTATAGTTTGTTCTCATGTCCCCTGGTATGTCCTCACCTGAACAACCAGAGGTATTGAATGTGCACAGAGTACAGTATATGGAACACAGTGATAGGACAAGATCTTTACAGACTCGATTGCTTTCACAAGTGCTTTCATTGAAAGAATTGCTCCGTGAGGGTGAGTCGTCACACAGTTGGAGAGCTTATTTGACACTCTCTGCAAAAAGAGCAGACCCTTATTGCTTCTCTGCTCCTGGTGATGTGCTTCTGCTGAGTCCTTTTTGCCAGCCCTGAAGCATTTCAGGGAGCAAAGTCCCAGCAGAAACCTGTCTGCTAAGTGTGTTGCTGACTTCAGAGGCTGAAGGGGCTCAC